TCCACCACCATGTTCCTGGCCAAGAGTGGCTGCCTAGTTTTCTATCTGCAGCCAAAAAAGTCACATCCTGGCTGCATCTGTGGCGACTAAGATCTACAGGTATGGTTGGAGCTGGAATGGTAAGGGTCACCCAGGACAAGTGGGAGACTAAGTGTGGGCACTTGCCTCCCAGCCAGGGCCACCACGCAGTCAGCCAGGCTCTCTCTCACCTGACTGTCACTCACGCTCTACAGCACCATCCAGTGGCCACTCCTTTGGACCAGTCCTTGGCCCTCTTGTTTCCTGGAAAGATATCAAAGCCACGATCTATATTTCTAGGATGACCTTGACCCTTCTATCCACAATCCCCACCAATAAACCCAAGAGTTCACAATAATGTGGCTTGTGATGTACCTTACACATCATTCTTCATGTGTCTCCCAATGTTCAAAAAATGAAATAAGGATGAATAGAGCATCAAATGGGAAACAGGAGACCTGGATATTCTCTGATACGAGGTAATGACTAGTTGGACATTATAGTTAGAAGGGAACTCAGAATATAGCTAATAGAAACTTTTCTCCTTACTGAGGCCCAATTTATAGTTGAAATGATACAGATGAACTTGACCATGTCAACTGTGACCCTAATTAGGATTAAAGAAGTTAAGTTGTCTAACCTGTCAGAATTTAGCCTACTCATCCCTAAGGTGAATGGTTGGAAGTACATCTTTAAAGGTCCTGGCCAAATATAACTTCTGTGGTTTTGAATCATACCAAATTTTTTCCCTGTATATGAGTCTAATTCTCACTAAAAATGTAGCCTTCTCACTTATTTCTAAGATAGATTGACATATAGCTGAAATTTAAAAATTGACCTACTTTTTGTCATTTTTTAATGGTTACTCTATGATTCATGAGTCAGTCTGCCACACAAATCTCAGATAATGTAAGTGAATTATTCACATTTTGTAGCAGCAACATAGTAGTTTTTCACTTCCCATATCATTTAAACTATCTTGTAGATTCTATGTTTGCATTAAAAAAAATCTAAAGAGCATTCACATTTTTTTGTTGTTGTTGTTCTGGAGTGTGCTTGAGAACTTTTCACTGTGTGCAGTGTGTTTAAGAGAAATTAACTGAACTGGGTAGAATTCACATAACTTGGCATTCTCTGTTCCAGGAGGTAAGAAGTGGCATTCTGAATGATGGAAAGATCCTGATGTCAGTAGCCTCTTGATTTAGTTTTGTTGGAGTCTTAGCTCATCAGTTAACTTCACCATGTCTGATACTTCATTAGTAAAATGAGAGATAACCTATCTGACAACCAGATAAAGAGGAATAAAGTTTGCAAAGCACTTAAGACATCTACAGGATGATCTAAAGAGAAAAAGATAATAATCCACTTGGACTTTTTTTTTTGATGACACGGCAGATGGTCCTGATGACACAGTTTATAGGCCCCTTTCTTTGTCCACAAAGGGTTCTCAGGACCTGGGACAGTGTTTTCCTGGAACTGTACTAAATTTTGGTACACATCAGGCATTGGCCATAACCTAGATTTTGAACACAAAATCAAGTGAGACCACCAAAGTTCTCCTCTTCATTTATCTTCTGATAAATGCCACAGCACACAAACATTCAAGAACAAAACCATAAGAAGGTGTCTTTAAAGCAAACTGACATTTTGAAAACTTCATCCAAGAACTCTTGCAGATGGACACTGAATACAGGCAAGGTGAGCTGTTCTTTTGTAGCGCGGTTTATAAAACATCAATGAGAATATATATATATATTGAAATTACAAAGAGGGATTTTACAAAATCAGGCACATAAGTATGGGTTTCCAAAATATAAAAGTCATTGAGTACAATAGTGCAAAAATTCTACAAGTATCTATTTAAGTTTTTCGACTGTAGAATTTGCATTTGCCTGAAGCAAGAAGCCCAGCTGTTTTACAATGGGGTCTCTTGCCTCCTAGCAAGAGACAACACAGCAGACAATGTGTGCCTTAAACAGCAAATCTGTTCTCAAGAGCTACTTCTCTTGGTTGTCTATGGTTTCAATAAAATATATTCTGGACTTATTAATTAATGTTGCACAGCATTTATTTATTTTATTGTTTATTCAAAAATTTTGACCAGTATTAAGTTCTTATGGTTTTTATTTTTTGATGCATTAAATTTAATTGGAACACAGGACTCCCATTTTGAGGATTGGGTATTTAAAAAAAAAAAAAGCATTGGTTTTTAAACTGAAAGGTTTGATGGAGTATTAAATTTGATGAATCATAGCAAGTGTCTGTGTTTGTTAGCTTTTATAGACCACATTAAAGCATTCATTAATAAAGTCACACTACATTGCTTTGAGTAGGTCCTAAAAGGTTAACGACTTGATGCAGGCTGGTGTTCTTAAGCTTTACAGTTTGAGAGCGTCATGTGTGAAACTTAGTTCACTTTGAAATTGGAATACAAAAGAGATTTTTATTTTCTCTCAAAGGGATTTCTTATTCCTCTTTCTCTTTTCCGTTTCTTCTTCTTTTCTTCAGCCATCACCCCAAATCTTGCTCACTCAGGTGTATGTATGAAGCCTGTGGCTTGTTAGCTGCAGGATGACCCTGAGGCGTCGCAGGAGAAAGTCACCCTCCCTCTTGGCTGCTCCTACGGTGACCTTCCATCAGGGAGAAGCTGACTCAATTATGAATCACCCATTTTGGAAAAGGAGTTGTTACTTGAGAAGTATATTTTTAACTGTTTGATTTCTTTCCCTCGGAGAGTCTGTTTTGGAAGATAGGATATAGAAATATTTGCAGTGTTTGAACTAGAATAGCTCATACAACCACCTATTATAATATTATGCATCCAGAGGACACGGATATTTATTTGTTGACTGACTGGATAACCACAAGACAAGGGTCAGGGACCCACATCTTCCTGTTCTGAGGCTAGGAGCACTTGGAGTAATATTACATTTGAATTGTTTACCCTGGATAATTTCTGAGTCAAATCTTTATTTTACATGTCAGAAACAGCATCAAATCAAACTAGATTGGAATTGTGAGCCTCCTGTGAGAAAATTGCCAAATTAAGGAATTGTGCAAATCCTTAATATTAAGTATAAGCTCTATAGACACTTCATGAAAGTGCATGAAATCTGTGTCTTTTCCAGAGGAAACTTTCTTGGCAAAGTCACATTTTGTGAGGGTAAATTTTTCTTAAAAGGGGACTTTGGGCAGTGTCTTGATTCTGTGGGGAGTTGTTAGTAAAATAAATGACTCAAATTGGTTTTGTGTGGGAGACAAATCAAAGCATTTCCATGAGGCTGCAGGGCTGACCTGTAGTAGTTTAACCATTTCCTGAGCAAATAGAACCTGCTGGATTGGATGGATGATAGTTCCCGTGTTAGTCATTGTGGAGAGAAAAATAACAGTTCATATAAAAGAGGCCACCAAGGGTTATATGGCTGCAATTGTTTCCAGGCTGAAACAACTTTGTATCTGTTTATTATTGTCAGTATCTTGTTATATTGTTCTTTCAGAATCAATAAAAGCTAAACTCCCTCCATGATTTTACTACTAGACTCTCCTGGAAGGATGTATAGTACTAAAAGTCAAGAATGCCAGAACAGGGGAGGAGACAGAGCTAATGATGAGTCAAAGTTAAATCCACTTTATTTAACAATCTTTTTTTTCAGAGAGGAAATTGTTTCATTAATGTAAAACATATGGGAAGATTCTTGTTTTTTTTAACGTATGAGGAAAATTTTTTCTTTAGAAGGAAAAAGGAACAAACACACATACAGAGATATTTTTATTTTGATTATAAAAGTTGTTTTCAGAAGATTCATTACTCTCAACTTTTCCACACTTCTACAAAATCCTAGTTGTCAGTCATCACCACGTGAGGATCAATTTATCCTCCCTAATAGTAGTTTTTATATTTAATAAATTTAAAAAACCTTTTTTAAAGAAAAAAACTAGATTAGCAAGCATAATCATTTGAATTTTTCCTCCTTGGTATCATATCATCCATTCCTATCTATTTAAGGCATGAGCATAACAGATACTATTCAAATATCTAATGATTGGTGTCCACAGAAATAACCTTCTCCAGCTTTAGGGCCCAGGGCTGAATCCATGGCCCTGTTAAACCCATGGTACTTGATAAATACATAGCAACCAGCTCCTGGGAAGGTAGGAGGAAGAAGCATTTTCACAGTGTTCGAAGTGTAAAAGTGCCATGCCTAATTTGATGCTACCAAAGTGGGAGGAGATAGGACCAGCTGACTCTGCCACCAGTCACACATCGGCCTCAGCACATTACCATAGACCCCTCTAAATTACATGATTCTGATTCTAGGATTGTTTAATAGATTGGGAAAGGAGGGCTCCATTTGGTTTAAAAGTTTTTCTTTACCCCAAAGCCCTGAGAGCAATTTTATCTAAGGCCCCTAGTTCTTGATAGGTGCTAACCTTATTCAAGCACTGCCAGAAACCAGTGCCAACATATTTCTTTGTCCGGAAGCTCTTGGTTAAAACCACTTTGTTTAACACAATGTTGTAGGGGGGAAAAATCCCCACGTGAGGAAAAATAGAATGGTAGATTATAATGCATAATCCAGTTGTGTAATTTTTTTTGAAGTTTATTATTATTTTTTTAAGATATGGTTTCATTATTGGAATCTGAATCTCTGTAGAATGAGGCAGCTTTGCAGGACTCATTGTAGAGTCAGTAAACAATGGAGTGAGTCACTGAAATCTCTGAACCTTCCACACTGAAACGGGGAAAATAGGGTCCATCACATGTATATATATGGTTAATCATATCGCTAAGGTACTTTGAAGAAAATTATGTAGAGTAAGGCTTATCATTTGCAGCTGCTTAGGAGGAATGTCAGCAATGCAAGCAGGCCAGTTTTGAAGATAATAGATTTATGCCTTGCAGAAAGCCAAATGTGTGATCACTCAGGCCAGAATCTGTTAAGTATCATGTTGCTATTTCTCCTCTTTCTTCCCCATTTCAGGTCACATCTCAAATATGAACGTCACCCAGAGGTTACCCAGGTGATCCTAGGCCATCCTGAGCATGCAGCTGTGCAGGGCTTGACCTTGAAGGACAGATGGCATCAGGGGGAATTCTTTTATACCTTGTATTGGCCAGGGCTCAGCTTCTGACATTTCTGTCTACAGACGACAAAAGGCTTTCATTGTAAGCTGCTTTCTGATGCGTGCTTAAAACCAAGTTGAACACATTAAAAGGGAGAAGAAGCAGAAACTTGCTCACTGTGCTCTGTGAAGAATTAAAAAAATTTTATGGAAGTCGATGAAAGGGAAATAGATTTTTGAAATCTTTATGCCCTCTCCCCTCAAAATTGGACTTAATATTTATTTCAGGTTAATTATAATTCTTCATTCATTCCAATATACATTTATATTATGTTCCGTAATATATTTCCTTTAAAAAATTGACATTTAAAATGTTTCAGATAAATTATATTTAGCTGAGTTTGCTTTCTATTTCTGATCTGAATAATATCAGGATTCTTGCAAACCTAAACCTTCCCTTAGTAAAATTTACTGTCACTGGGGTATGATATGCTTTCATGGGTTCCCCTCTAATTTTTTTCCTTTTTCAACTATAATACTTTCTCAGACCTCCTTCTCTATAATGTTACCAAGATTCTTTGAAGTATTATCTGATTTCAGAACTAAGACTTAACCATTCTTCTTCAGGAGACTTTAAATAACTCTCTATCCTTCTAATTTAGTACTTCAGTCCACCATGTACCAACTTTAGTCCTCTTGACCCAGCATATTTCTGGAAAGTGCAAGGCAAAGTTTCTGAAATTTGGTTGTTGATCTGATTACATAGCGGCTATGTGCTTGAATAAAAAAATAATAATAGCTAACATTTATTGAGTGGTTTTAAAGTCCCTGGCATTGTTCTAAATGTTCTTTCTACACGCATTCCTCACTTAATCTTCACAATGACCTGAAGAAATAGATCATATTATCATACCCATTTTCCAGATGAACAAAATAAGGCACCGAGACACATCAGTTGAATCAGGATTCTAATTCAGGCAGTCTAACTCAGGAGTCCTCATTTTTATCCACTATGCCGTCCTTCACAGAGCAGTCTTAACAATCTATTTTGAAAGCTATATTCACGACTGCGTGTGTGGTAGAAAGAACACTGCACTAAGGGCCAGAAGATGGACCTTTAATGCAGTTTTGCCACTAATTAGTTGTATAAACTTGGACACGTTGGCCTCTCTGGAAAAAGCTAGGCAGAAATCCATTACATTAAGTCCTTTTATAAGCAGCTTATTTATTTTAAATAAATACTATGGCTCTCAGTGGGAGGCCATTTAAGCAGAGCCATTAAGGCCAACATAGAATAGTTTCTGGGGCCAGACTGTGAGGTTGACACAGGGCTCCATGCAGGACTTCCTGGATTGAGTCCCTTTTCTACCTCTTACCAAATGTGAGATGGTGGCAAGTTTTTCAGCCTTCCAGAACCTCCATTTCTTCATCTGTAAAATGCAGATAGTAAATGGTTGTCCACCTAAGAGGGTCACTATGGGTAGATGAAGAGTGTACATAAAGCATTTAGTGTAGCATTTTATGTGATTCTCTATATGGTCCTATGAGGTTACCATTATTATCCCCATTACACAGACGAATAAAGCGAGGCCTACAGAAGTTAATTAATTTGTCCAAGGGTATTTATATTGTAAGTGGTAGAGTCAGGATTCTAACCCAGGCAGATGGGTATTTAACCAAACACCATCTTTTTCCCAGTCTAAGAGGATTCTCTGTGTCTGATAATGTATGTTATCTATTACCTGAGCTAACAGTCCCTCTCCAGTATATCCTCCACCCTCCCACGGTTCAGCAACCAAAGCATTTTAACTGGTACTTAAGGCACAGTTTTGGGATACTGCCGCAGCACTAGACCCACAGTTCATTCTGATTGGTCAGGGCCTGTCTCTGTTCTGATTGGTCGGCATCCCTCAACCCTCCTCCCCCACACACATACATACTCTATCACCAAACATTGGTCTCTTTTCTGGAAGACAAAGAGGGAAAGCTGGAATGCTCTCTCAAGTATTTTCTCTAGATGTCAAGTTCTATAGGCTTATTAGGCATCCACTCTCTCTGGTCCATCCCACTCCCCACATGCTCACATAAACTTGTTTTGCTAAGAGCTAATTTCCAACTTAACACGAAGTATTGAGAATTAAAGTTTCACAGAAAAACCACTGGTAGAAATAGATTTCAGATGTGTTGAAATTTGCTTATGTCATATGTCAATTGATTAAGAAAATTAAATGTTGTACCCAGGAAAACATAACAATGGACAGGCAAGAATAGCATGTATCTTTAGGACACGTTAGAATACAAGATAGTGCCCAGATTTTGCTCTATGTTACAGGTGCATTTATTAAAGGCTTTGGAACTTTCTAACGTTGAACTACCACGCCCCATCCATAGAGAGACGCAAAGCCATTTGTGACATATAGTGGTTGCATCGGTTTCTCTGAAAATGCTTTTTCTTCTGGATTGATAGCTAAGATACTCATTTTCTCTGAATAGTAGGATTCCTATATTCTGATACTTGCCTGATTTCTCAAAGCCCCCCAAAGTGCCTTATCACTAATTGATTCTGAAAAACTTTGGTCTATTTGGGTTCTCCTTTGTTGAAGAATACCAGCAAGAAAAGTTACTGGTTAGCACTTTCGGGTGGACATCTTCCACCCAGGAAGCCATGTCAGTTTTGGGTTTTCCCAGTGATGCTGACCTGAGTCTGGGCTACTGAAAACATGGCTCTTTTGTCAAATGCCCTAGAGTCCTAGTCATCCCCACTGCTATCTCTTCTGCCCTGAACATCTCTGGAGCAAAAACTGAGAGCTTTGTGTGGTGGGTCGGGTCCACAGAGTAGCAACACTCAGGTTTCCCCTCATGACCTATGCAATTTATTTCTAGCTGGAGCTCTCTTCTTAACTCCCTGTTATCTTGCATTTCGAGAACGCTGCTCTTTCCTCTGTGCTGTGTGCCCTGGAGCTCGTTGGGGGGAGCACCCAGAGAGGACATCTTGAGCATCTGTTCTTCTCCATGAGCTAAAGATTCCCATCTTGACTGAGGTCTTCCAGTTTTCAATCTGGTGATGCTTGATAAAAAAATAGCAAAATAATATGAGTTGGTAAATAAATGTTAATATATGCTTCAAATACAAAAGCAGTTTCTTCTGCAGTAGATAATGTAGGAAAATATACAATGTTAGTATTTGATTTGCATCAGTAGGTGAGAGCCCTGAATCCTTCATTACGAGGTTAAATCTGATTTTTGTTTGTGACCAGCATGAACGCTGACCTCTGCCCTTTGAATGATCTTTCCGTCTCCCAGAAAGTTCATGAAAAGGTCATGGAGCTGCACTGACTTCCTCTGTGTGTGCATGGACGTGTCTTTGCTATTGATCTGGGAAAAGACCTTGCTTTGTCCATTCAGTGGTTTTGTTCACTTTATTTTTAATGGAAACCTGATCAGTGATTATAGAATTTTTCCGCAGGAATTCACACCTGAGTAAGTGCAGAAAGCTAACCTCTTTTCATGTTGGTTATTTAGTCTGTGTTTTACCTTGGCCATAACTCCCAATTAAATGCATTTCTTGAACTCTTAGCAAAGCAAAATATGGCACTTACTGGTCACAAGTTCAAAGCAGGAGAGAGAGGGAAAAAAATGGCTTAGTAGCTGGAAATAAAAACACCAGTGAATTCCTCTTACGGATTCCTTCATGTCAAATTCATATCATGGGTGACTTTCAGTTTTCCCTCTAGATCATCTTGGCATGATCGAGGAGTAAAAATAAAAATGATTTCTAGTATATTCCTGAAGTGATTCCTTCTTTTGATGCTGCCTGTCAACGTAAAAGGGGTTATGAATCTCTGGAAACCTGCTCTACTGACACCATCTGCAGCATAGGCACCAGTTTTCAAATCAGCCTGCAGTAAGTGGGACAGTTGGAGGGTTTTAAATCTCCACTAGAAAACTATTGCCATTTACAAACAACAAGCTTTGTACTGAAATGGTGAAAAATGCACTTGCGTCATATTTAGAATGATTGTGGAGGGGGATATAACAATACTTTTCAAGACTGTAAGCAATACGTATATTCATATCTTGCGCTATTTATCTTGTAGATATACAGCACTGAAGTTCTTGGCTGCTAGCTGTTAGGTTAGCATCGAGAAGGAAAGATCCTGAGGTTTGTCACTGCTGTATATCACTGCAGCTGTGCCCTTTGATTACACTGGGGCACCACCAGTCATTAATAACGGGGAAAGCTTTTTGTCTGGCAAATGCATCGTCGTACAGTCCTTTCTTAACACCTAAGCATCTTGGTGTGGTAGTGAACGTAAATTAAAGGTGAAGATTGTTTATTTTATAGCCACACTTGTAAATAGAGGTGGCCTTTCCAGAGCCGTTCAAGAAAGTGTATTTTTCCTTGCTTTAAGACTTGAAATGTTCTCATATTTGGCAATTCGCTCAAGGGAACTCAGTCATTAAGTCTCACTCGAACAAACAATATGAGCACAATGTAATTACAATTTTAATTTCATCACTGTCACACTCGTGTGGCTACCAGAGGGTTACAAAACAAGCTATCATCCAAGACAACAATTGCTGTACAGACTTAAAAACCCAAGTGTGCCCACGGTTGAAGATTTCTTGAAGAGCATGATGTGAAGGGAATATGCAAATAGAAAGCTTTCCAACATAAAAAAAAAATGCTCAGATTTGAATCTGATCGAATGTGTTGCTTTGCAAGGTTGATGCCACCAGCCAATTTTCCCAGAAGTGCTAGTTTCCCATCAAAAGTCACCCCAAAGTTGACCAATTGCTAGAGAGCTCGATCACATTAAACTAACTCGCAATAAATGGATTTATAAATTCCACCGCCCTATGGGAAATGTTACAATGTTTTAAAGGCGAGTGTAATCACACTGTCAATTTTATCTCTATTTCGTTTCTATTGCCACTAGCATCCAGTAGGACCCATCATTTCTTGCTGGGATGATTATAATAGCCTCTTTTGTTGTTTCCTTACCACCAGTCCTTCTTCCCTTAATTCAGAAATATTCAAAGTATGAGTTTTTCACAAGCCAGTTCGGGGGGGGGGGTGGTGAAATCAATTTAGCATTCCACGATCAACATTTTATTTTATTTTATTTATTTATTTATTTATTTATTTATTTATTTTTATTTTTTTTTTTATTTAAAAAAAATTTTTTTTTCAACGTTTATTTATTTTTGGGACAGAGAGAGACAGAGCATGAACAGGGGAGGG